GAACGCAGGAGTGCAGCAAGGGCGAATGTAACTCTTGCAGAATCTTGTATGACGGAGTAATAATGAAAGACCTCGAACCGTTTCTGAAGCAAAGTAAAAAATCGGTTTCAATTCCCTCTTTAATGGGAGCCGTCACTCAATTAAAAATGAAAATTGGGGCAAAGTGTGGAGGGAAAAAAACTCCCTCCAATAAAAAGTGCACACATCATCACTACACATATCTACATTCCAAGGACATATAAGGCCCATCATGCTCAAGCCCAAATTGAGGGTATTTTTAGCCCAAGACCATTGTTATTTGTCCTCCAACCTCCATCAAGGCCGAATCAAGAGGTCATCGGCCCAACTTGTTAATATTTAACATCCGGTCCGTTACTCAAGCTCAGCCGGATCAAAGTATGTTCAGCCCAGTTATTCAAGAATGCATAAGTCCTACCAGTTGAAGGATTTACCGTAGAAGGAAAATTCTGAGATAGGAAGTTCTGTACAAGGCAAGTTCTATGTATGGAAAATTAGACAATGGAAAGAACTCTATTAGTAAAGAATGTTTATATAGAAAGAATTGGAGGGCAAGCAACGCGAGTCCTACCATAATTTTACAATCTTTTGTATATAAATAGAGGCTAAGACCTCTAATAAAGGGATCAAGCAATTCTACGCTTCGACATATATTGTTTTTGTTTATTTTTACTATTGATTGAGTGAGTTGTTTTATTTTTTTTAATCATTATTAGTTGAGCGAAATTCTGCACCTACAGTGTAGTATGACACGACACGCGTAACCTGTTTAATAAATAGATCAAGACTTGACATGACACGAAAAGACACGTTTAAGTCATTTTTTACATGAACACGACATTTTATTTTACACTATTAACTAAATGGATCATTTTGTACACGAACACGACACGTTTAGTTAATCGGATTATTCGTGTCATAATCGTGTTTATAAAGTCAAACACAAACACGACAAGTTTAATTAGCAGGTCAATCCATGTCGATACGATTACGACATAAACACAATTAATTCAAACTCAAACCTGCTTATTTCTAATCGCATTCATGTCATGTTAGACTACAAGGTGAAAAATTATCACCCCTAAACATACAATCAGATTCAACCCTTAAAATGTGTACGCAATTAAAGTCAAAAGTGGAGAACTAATGGATTCCATAATGTGGTGCACCTCATTATTACTCTCTCTCCGAAATACACTTAAAAAGTTGCTAATAATTCCATTGAACTATTCAATTAATGAATTTGAAGTAAATGATGAAGCTATTAATTAAACTGAACTTATTGGACTCACCTCAGAAACCATAATAATTATATGATTTTGAAAAGTTAAATTGACTTACCCAAATAAAATAAAAAAAAAAATAAAATAACGAGTTCTAGAAATTGGATTCAAAGAAATTGAAGAAGGGTTGTCCCTCCCACGTTGGCTAAAGCAAAGGCATTATGAAAATCAATATTCATCTCATATCATATGTAGATAACTTTAATGTCCTTTTCATACCCATCACTCACAAACAAAACCCCATTAATGGAAAACAAATAAAAAAATAAAGGAGTAATGAAAACCATATTGTATATAATAATATAGGGTGATTCTCTACCATTTAAAATAAAATAGAACATTATATATATGTATACACACACACATACATTATTGTCAAAAGAATGGTGTGACATAACGACCATATATGATCAAGCTGATACGTACCCTCCTTATACGTCCTTTTCTCACCTAATACTGCCACTAAGCTCCAAACCATTGCTAACCAACTCCATATATATATATATATATTCAGTCCCTTGAAAATCCAAAAAAAAAAAAAAAACTCCATATATATACTGAACAACACTTCAATAAATTCATAGTTAAATGATGATTAAAAGTCTAATTTCACATATTATAAACACACACCTTACAGGGTGTTTAAAAGGATTAATTTTGGATTTCGTACATGGTAAGTTCTGTCACACACTTCACGATTTACAAGTATTTTTCACATTTTTCTTTTTGTTCTTGAGAAATTCCAAGTATGATTTGTTGCCAGATTTTTTTTTTTTTTTTTTTTTTTTTTTTGTAATAAATGACACTTTTAATAAAATAAAAAAAGTACATTCTAGTGATCATTGGCTCTGGTCTAACCTAATTAGTACTCTTGCATTTCAAATAATACGGTTTAGGGTTATAATAGTAATTTACAAGCCAATTGTGGTGGGCGCCACCATCTCACATGAATGAGATTTGGTAATGCACAAATTATTTATTGATTTCATAATTTTAAAATGCTTAAGATCGTTTTCACGGAAGAAAGTTCTTGGTCCCTCAAAACTGGATTTAGCTTGCCATACTACTCTTCAATAAGGAACAATTTATTTGGATTATTGTTGTAATGTAAATAATGTTGTATTGCATCATTTTAGGAGATTATTAATGTGGTAGGCCTGACAATTAGGCATGTCTTGGACAATTTTGAACGGAAAATGACACAAATAAGTTGGATAACTTGTATGATAATCACGAACAATTTTATTACGTCTCGTGTTTTTTCCCACACTTTATGCATTTTTTTACATGCGCCTCTATTATTTAAATATATATTTTATTATTTCGGACACCTAGTTCACGTATTTTTACATGGGCCTCTATTATTTAAATATATATTTTATTATTTCGGACACCTAGTTCACGTATTTCCAACATCCAATCAACATGTTCCAGACTCAATTAACACATTCTACACACTTTTTCTTTTTCTTCTTCCTTTTTTTTTTTTTGTTTGGTCGTTGTCTTAGATGAACATTAGCAATTTAGCATACATTGAAGTGTTTAGCCTCCAAAGAATATAAGATAGTAATATTGTATATAATATAATATATTATTTTTTATATTCATAAGCATCATCTTCTAGCTAATGTACCTTTGGTATAGAATTTATAATTTTTTATAGTTGCCTCATTCAATAAATATATAAATGAAATTTTATAATTGTATTAGTCTTGGCTACGTCGTGTCCATAACTTACTTTTTAAAAATTTAACATGTCAATATATCATATCACGTATCGTATCATGTTCCATGTTTATATTTGTGCTTGGCAACTTGGATGCAAATGGTCAAAATTAAACAAAGTACCTCAATCAACCTAAACCAAACTCGGGACTCATTAATAATTTAATGACAACTTTTCAAATTTTAAAAGTTTAGATAAAATTCACATAAAACCAACAATTTGAACTGTCAAACATGAGACCATCATTCTAGAAACAATCATGGTTTAGAATAATATTAGAAGCTAAATGTCACAACATATATTCAAGTATTAAAAATAGTCATTTTACACAAATAATATTTTAAATAAAAATAAGTCTATTTTTTTTTTTCTAAAAATAAGTCTATTCAAGTATTGAAAATAGTCATTATTTTACACGAATAATACTAGTATTTTAAATAAAAATAAGTCTTTTGACCCATGACAATGAAATTTTAGTGTATAAAGTTTGACTTTCCCCCCACCTTCTTGTTTTGAAATACTGCGACAAAAATTCAAAACAACACATTTATGTAATGAATTCGAATTCAAAACAGCCCCATTTGTATCACCTTAAATAATCCGAACTGAACGAACCCTCTCCATCACCAAATCGGGCGACGTGGAGAATGTTATACTATACAATATTATTAGTAGTTTAAATTTAGAATCGAATGAAATTTAATTAATGGTTTGAATTATAAATTATTTAAAATCTTAAATTCAAAGCATTAATTCATGCTCTAAAACGTAATATAATTTTTTTTTTTTTTTTGCCCCTTTAACAACAATATTACTAAATCAAAGATACAGTAATTTGATAAAAAATTATATATTAACAATTTAACACAGAGTAGTATTGTACTCCATAGTTTATAATTTTGATGCTAATATATTGTATGAATATTACGTTTTTTAAAAATGACATGTTTGGCAATCAATTTAATTTTTTTTTATTTGTATTTTGTATTGCAAGTGGGGTATAGCAACGAAACAAAATCTCAAAACTCGTATTTGGTAATTTTTGTTGCGATTAGAATAGTATCACATTTGTTGTAGAAACACTTATGTTTTCACGTTTCAACAAAAACATTGTAGTCTTTTTATTTTTTAAACTAGTTATTTTGTTTTTTAATTTTATAATACTATAAATTTTACCTTATCAAATATACAACAAATTGATACAAATAACAAGTATTATTTTTTAAAAAGAATGTGAATTACAGAGTATACAGCATTTTTTTTTAATTGTTTATTTATGCAACAAATAAAAAAAAATTATCTAATTACGCACATAAATAATTAATTGAAAATATATTCGGTGCTACTCCACCAAAACAATACTAAAAGCAACAATTCTCTGGTATGACCCCCAGACTGACCCCACCACATTTAAGACTCACCCCCCAGATTTAAAGAATGTGGATTACTTGTATTGTAATTTATAATTTTGATGTTAATATATTGTATGAATATTACGTTTTTTAAAAACGACTTGTTCGGTAGCGGATTTATTTTTTATTTTATTCGTGTTTTGCGCTTTGGCAAAAACACTAGTCTTTTTATTTTTAAAACTAGTCATTTTCTTTCTTAATTTTATAATATTTTTTTTTACAATAAATTTTATATTATTAAATATACAACAAACCTATGTTAAGTATAATTTTTTTTTAAGAAATAGTGATATTTACACCGATCAATTTATTATAATAAATTATTTAATATATTTTTATAAATTTATTATTTATAAAATAAATAAGAAAACAAATTCTTCCTTTTTATTTGTATGGTGTATAAATAACAAATAAAAGATATTGAATATCAGAAATATTCGGATAATTTGCTACTGGGACGAGGTATAGGCCCAAACTGACCCCACCACATTTAAGACTCATCCCGAGATATTCCTCCTAAAGCTCGCACGCCTTTGTATGCCAAAAACCCATTAAAATACTAAAACCTCATTTCCCATTTTTTTCAAATTGTTTAACCCACTTTTCACTTTCTCTCTCTAGACCCAAAGCTGTAAAACACAACAACACTCCACCACCACTTTACATTCCAAAGTCGCAATACTCGCAACCCAACTTCTCTCCCTCTCTATACTAGTCTCATGGCATTTGCCGCTCTCCTTTACCACCTCCACCACCTCCCCCTCCTTTACTTTTCTCTCTCCTCCTCCTCCTCCTCTTTCTCTCTCTACACTCCCTTCAATTCTCCTCCCACTCCCACACACCACTTCTGATACAAACTATACATATACTGATATACATATATATATATATATATATATATGGGTTATCTCTCATGTAACGCAGAGTCTGCGATCGCCACTTGCGATCCATACTTGGCGAAGAAACAGAGAAACGCTCATAAGAAAAAGAATACATTCGTGATCAGAGAGTTCTCGTACCTCGATCTCCAATCAGCCACCAATGGCTTCTCCTCCGATAGCTTTCTCGGCAAAGGCAGCCACGGCTCCGTTTACAAGGCCGTCCTCGACGACGGCAAGCTCATCGCCGCCGTCAAGAAGACCACGGCGACGGACACCGTCAACAGTCCTGCGGAGAACGAGATCGAGATTCTATCGAGAATCCGGAACCCTAGGCTGGTCAATTTGTTAGGGTTCGGTGTTGATTCGAGTGAGAGGAGATTGATTGTGGTGGAGTTCATGCCAAACGGGTCCTTGTACGATTTGCTCCATAATGTCGCCAGACCGCCCGGTTGGGCTCGGCGAGTCCGGTTCGCGTTACAGGTCGCGAAAGCGGTTCAGTACTTGCATTCGTCGAACCCGCCGGTTATTCACCGAGACATTAAGTCGTCCAACGTGTTGATCGACGGTGACTGGAACGCTCGGCTCGGCGACTTCGGATTGGCGCTGAGGGGACACGTGGAGGACGTTCGCGTCAAGTGCACGCCTCCGGCGGGGACGTTAGGGTATCTCGACCCGAGCTATCTTGCGCCGGGGGATCTCAGCACCAAGAGCGACGTCTTCAGCTTTGGTATACTGTTGCTGGAGATGATCAGCGGCCGGAACGCCATTGACATGAACTACAGCCCGCCGTCGGTGGTGGACTGGGCGGCGACGCTTATCAAGGGATGTGACTTCGCCGGACTTTGCGACCCGAGGATCGGGCCTCCGGTTGACGCGGCGGTGGTTCGGCAGCTGGCGGTGTTGGCCGCCAGGTGTGTCAAATCGGCGGCGGAGAAGAGGCCGGAGATGTCCGCCGTCGTGGATTGCTTGAGAGTCGTCGAGAAGAAAGTGAAGTCGCCGATTTGGAACAATATAAACCGCCGCGTGATGAGATCGTCGACTTTGATTAAATACGAACCGTTGGATGATAGTACCGAAATGATCAAGACATCGAGAGTCGGGAGTAGAAGAAACAGGAAAGTATCAAGTGTTCCGGGTGTAGAGTTAGCGAGTAAAGCAATTGGTACGTGTAACGATCGTGTGGGCCATATTGTGCCTAGATCTAAGTCGGTTGGATCTGTTAGGGAGATCAAAACGGCGACGCACGATTCGAATTTGGGAGGTTGCAAGAGAAGGGGTGGATTGGCTGTGAAGAGGCCTATAGTAAGACTGAGCAAGTCTAGATCGATGGGGATGTTGCAAGGCACGTGCCTTGGAAACAATAATGGGTGTAGTATGTTGCAGATTAAGAGGAATTCTAGTGTTGGAGAATTGGAGGAATTCAATTTCTTGATCGAGTTGGAGGAGGATTTGGTAGAAGAGCCCAAGAAGAATATTCATTGAAAAAAAACAGTTGATTTTAACCTCAAATGTAACAATTTGTAACTCTAGTTTTACTCATTAAAAAACTGGATGTTGTAACATTTATTATATATTTATATGTTATAACTTTATATTGCAATTGTTGTATTAAAAGTAATGGATTATTGTACCAATCATTAGTATGATACATTCTTATAATGGTGAATTAGAATTTTTATTTATTTGTTATAATTAAGCTTAGAATATATTTTATTTAGGGTAAATTACATATAAATGGAGTCAAAATTTCATATTTACTTAGAGACTAAGTCAGAGTTCCAAATTTCTCTAAAATGGATTGCTGAGGTGGCACATGATTTTTTACTGTTTAAAAAATTGTGGTGCCTAAAATGCCCTTCCCTAATAAAAAAGTAGTACCTTCAGTTCAAAAAAATAGTATCTTCAGTTCAAAAAAATAGTACCTTCGGAGAAAAAGTAGTACCTTCGCGAGTGTTTAAAAAACATGGTACCTGGATGCCAAAAAGTAATACCTTCAATTCAAAAAAGTAGTACCTTCGAAGAAAAAGTAGTACCTTCGCGGAAGGGTATTTTAGGCATCACAATTTCTAAACAGTAAAAAACCATGTGCCACCTCAGCAATCCATTTTAGAGAAATATGGAACTTTGACTCAGCCTCTAAGTAAATATGGAACTTTAACTCTATTTATATGTAATTTTTCCTTTTATTTACTTCCCATGAAATTTGTCAGTATTTCATCTACATCTATGTACATTTCATAACAATTTTAATGACGTACTTGATCTTGATAACAATTTTACCTACACAGCTGTCATTTATCGAAACTGACATTCTATCAATTTTTTGCTATTGACGCGACCTCAATATATTCTATCAAAAGCACACCCAACAGCAAGAGAAAATATGTTAAATAAATTGGAAAACGGAAAAAAAATAGTTAGATTATGAAAGGCGCGTTGCCAACCCTGAAAAAAAAAAAAAAAAAAAACATAGCTACTATATATAGTTATTTAACATTGAATGGAAAGAGTGTGGAGTATTTCGTGACATATTAAAAGGGGGCATTGGGAAAATTTGGTTAAAATATAGTGTGTATAATAAGCAGGCCAATTGGAGAATATATGGAACGTGCTTGGGGCATCATGCACATCGGTGTATCATACATCGGCATATCGTAACTATTTATGTCCACGCGTGTTGTACAAACGTTTGTGTATATAAAATAAACGGCTGTGACGTATCCGGTGACCAGTGCACTGAACAAACCAAATACCTACTCCATCTGTAAACTGTAGGTACATGACTCGCTTGTGATCAGTATGGCCATTATTACAGACACAAGGTTCTTGAGTTTGCAATCACAAGATTGGTGCCAACTCTGTTCCAAAATCTTTAAATGCAATGGGATGCCTATTGGATTCTAAATGTTGGTATGTAGCTCTATTCTCCAAAAATCATTCTTCTTATCATCATCAATGCTCATGGATTTATTCTACCATTTTGTCTTAGAAGTATTTAGATACTTCATTGTGTTTTCTAAAACTAGCCCAAACGTGGTCCAATTTTGTATTCTGTGAATGTCCCATTTCAGCTGTTCTGGTGTGCATTCATGTTGTTTTCTTTTTATGAATATCTTGGATTGATGTTGATGATTGAGTAAATGTTGGTTACTATGTGTGTATGTATGTGTAAGAGCTGTGAAGGGTTACGGAATTTTATGGTGTTTCTGCGGTCATCTTAAAAAAACAAAAAAAAAAAATGATATTTAGGTTTATTTGTTAAGCTTTGCGGGGGATGTAGCCTGCTGAGTCACGTGGCACACCCCACGTCACTCGATTCGATTCGAGTCTAGTATCACCAATGATACTGCATGCCTCCACAAGCAAAGTTCTGCTAACCTATAAGTGTAGTCAAAAGAATGAGGAGTACACGTGTCTCGACTGTAATATTGATAATCATATTAATAAATTCCCGTTACCGCCGCTTTCAAAAAGATGTGCATTTAATGTAATAGTATTTCTCCTCGAACCAGAGAACCACAAGGCCCCTATTAACAGTAAAAGTGACGAAATAGTCATTTTGGAGTCTAAGTGATATTAATTTTTTAAAAATATCTGTGTAAAATTTGTCCAAATCTCAATCAATTAATTCTTATTATTTTAGTAGTCATAAGTTTGTTTGCCTGTTTCTTTTTGTTCCAAGGGAACTCTCTAGCATGTGCTAGAGGATATATTTAATTTAGACTACTTATACAAATGTATATTAAAATTTTTAGTATATGGTTTTTGTATGGATGATTATTTATTTATTAATTTTGTTTATTCTAGTGTTGTTACCTGCGACGAAGGATATATTTAATGTTATTGTCCTAAGATGTTGTGGAAGGCTTTAGAAATTGTATCATTTTTATGTGGTGTTTAACACCCCTGAGTACCATCAAAATAATTTTGTCCTACAACATTAAAATTTTCTGTTGAGGTTACTGTTTGTGTGTAAGACCATCAATTTATGCCCCAATCAAATCTTATTTATTGGATATCACGTCAAATTAGGATGAAGAAAAATCTAAGCATATGAAGGTAGATTTGCAAAGCTATTTTAATATGTTAAATTTTTGAATAAGTAGACAAACGCTAAACATATTTTATCATTCAATATTCATTTGATTATGCTCAAAGCCATGATAAACAAGAAGGTGCTTGCAAGTCATTTGAAATAAAATGCTGGCATGAAAAGTTGGTTATGATGAATATATAATTTTCTAACTATCATGACTTTCAACAAAATGATAGTATATTTATATGCAATAAATTTTCAAACAAAGGAAAAAGGATCAATTGATCATATGCATATTCAATTTAATATAGTTGAGAATTCAAACCACACTGACAAAGCCAATATTGCCGGTCAATTTGATTCAACATTAAAGCAGTTTTTAACTTTTGATATTTTATTTATTCATGCAAAAATTCTTAATTTCCACTCATAAAACTTATTGCATTAGAAATTATTGATTGGAAAAATGAAAATAAGGAAGAGAAGGGAAAGCAAAGGGAAGAGACGAAAAGTCTTTCATTTGTTTGTTAGAACTTTCATTTTTTGTGCCAAATGTAGCATATATATATATATATAGCTTTATAATTTTGGGATAATAAAAGTATGACAAGTGTTTCAAATTTTATAAAATATAAAATATAACAAAAATAGAATCAGAACATATTTAATTCATTTTAATCGGATTAGCTCTCCATATATATCTATACACACACTTGTACATACATAGGTACAAAATTAGCTTTTAAAGTAGAGAAAAATTAGGATTCAAGCTTCCTAAAACAATACCTTCCAAAAACAAGATCTTCGTAAAATAATATATTGTTTTTATTCTTTGGAATCGAGAGATCAAAATTTGGATTTCACCATAGCTGTACAAATATAAATACATATACATACATATATGAATAAACAAACAAAAATCATGTTATTAAAATACCCATTCACCTCCACTTCCAAAGTAATCCTCATTCTCACTGCAACAATCCTAAGTTGGACAAGAGAAGGGTAAGAACATTTTTTTTTTAAATACAAACCGAAAGCATTTTATGATTCTAGCAATGGTTCTTCATATCAATCACATATTTTTTACTTTGAGAAGGTAGAGAGCAAAACTAACCCCTCAAAACATTATTGCTACATCTCAATTCAATTATTTTTTTATAACGCCCAGACACATATTATGATATTTATAAAGATAGTGGTCAATGATGTATACAGTGTATTAGAAGAAAATTGTAAAAGATACCGTGAATCCAATTAAAAATGGATCAAACCAGTTCTAATTTTATTTTTGTTATATTTGTATTTTATAAATTTTAGGACACTTGTCATAATTTTATTATGCCACCTACTCAGTCGGTAGAAATTCCCTACTCATAAATGAGTAGGCAAGTATTGTCCATAATTTTCACTCATAAAACTTTTTCTTTTTGTAAGTCAAAGTGAATTTCATTCACTGATGATTTAATAACAACTAGAAACCAATTCTATGTAGCTAATTGATATGTATAGATTTGAGCATGATAAAAAAGAATATATTTATTTTAGCAATTTCAAACTTTCAACAAGGAAATTGAGTATGGGGGCATTGGGAACTCAATCCTCAACTTTCCTTTTAGAATAAGGAGCTTAAGTTAAATCCTTAGAGATATTCATTTTAAAAAAACTTAGATTAAATCTTGCCTTTATCTTAAATTGAGTGATTAACAGATATGGAATGGTTATATATATATATATATATATATCTAGGTTAAGTGCAAAAAAAAACACTCTTAGACTTTATTTGTGCTTATTACATTTCTCATGTATAGAAAACACCCTGACGTATTTAAGGTATAATTTGACTAAATTACCCTTATATACATATTTTACATATTATTTAAAAATGTATCATTTTATAAAATGACAAAAATGGTCATTTAGTACATGAGAGGGCGATACGCATATTATAGGGGTGTTTTCTGCACTTTATAAACTATTGTTATTTTAAATCTTTTTTATCTTAACGGTTAAATTTAATTGAGAACGTAATTTTATCGTGATTTGAATAGTATGATTACGGTAGGTGATTGAATATCCTCCCCCCTCGCCATAAAGAATGAATACCCATTTATTGCTATGTAAAGAATTATATATATGTGTGTGTGTGTGTGTGTGTGTGTGAAATTTTATTGGAAATTCTAAAGTTTAAAAAATTAATTGTATATTGTTTATATATAATGAATAAGTATCTTTAATTTAATTTTTTAATTATATATTTAATGAAAACTGATAACTATATTAAAATTTAATTAGAAATAATTTTCTTTAATTTTCTTTTTTATATTTATAAAGGTTACTGAAGTTTTCATTTCATATGATATACATCATATACTGTACATTAATCTGACAATTGTGACAATATATATATATATATATATATATATATAAAAAGAGAGAATACACTGTTAGTGAAAATATATAGATAAATATATATATATATATTTTTTCGAAAAGGTAAGAGAAAATCCTTAAAAGTGGGTTGAATATAATTAATGTGCACATATCACCCCTATACTAGGGGTATACAAAAGAATCGGAATCGTGGAACCGGAAACG